AACTCATGTTTTTACACTTTTATTAAAATTATACCTTATGGAATTCTTGAGATTGCCAAATTGCCAGTCAAAGTGATAAGGAATTTGGATTTTATATGTAGTAAAAAAATTATAAATATTTAATTAGATAAGAAATGTAATTCGATTTGATTAACATCTAGATTTTAAAGAAATGAATTTAATTCATACATTAAAATAAATTATAATATTTGTATAAATATATATAATTTTCAACATTGAAAATTTAGGGGATGATCTTTAAACTTGTTTTTAGAATTAGAATAAATTATTTCATACTATAATTTTAAAAAAGAACATTTAATTATATCATTTCTTTTGTTTAAATTTAAAATAATTACTATAATTTATTATAAAAGAAATAACAAATAGTATTAAATATAATTATTGTGATAAAATTGGTAAATTTAATAGGTTTGAATTATAATTATTTAATTTATGAATTAATATGAACCAATTTAGCAATTGTATTCTAAGGTATTCAGCATTTTGAGATTCGTCCTTGTGTATTTGTACTAACCCATCTTCTAAATACATGTCTAATACCATGTCTAGTGCTTCCGGTTCATCGATTAAACTTGGATGAACAATGGCAGAGCAGACGTTTTCGAGGAACACCGGTGTTCTACGAAATCTACAGAATATTATTATGCGCGGAGCAAAGAAGGTCTCCGGCCAACCCTGACACTGTTTTCACTAGGAAGCACGCCGTTCTGAATTAATATCGTTTGACATTGCCTGACCAATAAAGCCGAACTATAGGAAACGCAACTGCGACGACCTTCCGTGACGACCGAAGAACCTCGACGGACGACCTATCCTTCCATTTGTGAACACGGGTTCAACCGACTCGCGATGAATGGCTTAGGCGAACAATGCCGTTTGTGAGGCGACATGCGTGACGATTCTTATCGTTACGTGGCGCATGAATTACTTCATCTATTATCATCGGATTTAGCATCAAAACGTTCCAAATTTTCGGGGAATCGCTGGGACACTATGGGTGCCGTCATAGAAGTGTGCTGAGGAGAGAATGTTCGATAAGATTTCGAACACGTAGTAAAATTATGTTATTTCCAGGAAATAAGGTGTTTCTGAGGTCATTTGAAGTAACTTTTTCCTTAGCGCAAATGCAATCCGCGGCTTTGTTTACGAGTTATTAACAAACAAACTCTGACCAATGAGAAGTGGGCTTGGCTGGCGCAAGGCGGTCGAGCCAACGAGCCGTCGAATTCGT